AAAAAAAAAAAAAAAAAAAAAAAAAAAAAGGGGACAGCACCTGTCGAACTTGGGAATGATGCTAAACAATGTACCAATGTGAAACCAAAACACGACGTGTGACAACAACGTACCAATGCGAAAACAGCAAGTGGGGGAAATTCGATATACTGACCCCTGTGCGGATGATCGGGAAATCCTGCGGGTGCTTTCCCTGCAAATGTCATCAAAGGCGTTAAAAGTTAAAAGTTAAAAGTTAAAAGTTAAAAGTTAAAAGTTAAAACCAAAAGACAAAGGGAAATAAAAAAGAATCATCAGCACCGAAACAGATCACCGATGAAGAAAACAGTGCACACGGATCGTTACCTACCGCAAACAAACTGTCACTGAGCAAAGCTGTGAGCGCTTTCAGGACCCACCAAGACAAAGTGCTAAGAAAGGGTATATACTATATATTATATAAGGAGGAAAACAGCTAGGAGCACCTCGCTTGCTTCGTTTGGTTTAATCAATATCGTCTTTGGTTAATGAACAAGGTTCCTTCATTAAACCACCAGTACTTGGCCCAGCTATGGGCAGCGGCCAAAAAAATGGAGTAGAAACGTTTCTACTCGGATGAATTTGGGCGCTCCTGTGGTGGCCCGTACGTTTCCTAAAATAGAAGGCTTGTTAACGGGCACGACCTTAGGAAGTACTGGCGTTTTTTTTTAAATGAAAACTGTTGACCAGAATGATAATCGATTGATGATCGATTGATGATCGATTGATGATCGATTGATGATCGATTGATGATCGATTGATGATCAATTGTCTACCAAAGCCATTGCTTGCATGTTTCTGAGAACACTGACAAACCTACCCACCACAGGTTCTCTTTCCCCGCTCTCCTCCCCCCCCCCAGCGGCAAGCTACGCTCCAGCGGCAAGCTGTGCTGGAGGGTAGATCAAAACGCACTCCTTGTATCATTCCTAGACTCCTAGTTAGGTAGGTAGTGGGAGAAATATTGAGAGAAGAATACAGCTTAAGTCTTTTTTTTTCTTAAATTACACACACACACACACACACAAGGAGTGAGTTGTGGGCTTCTGGCGCGTGTTCACACTGGCAACATGAAAGGAACATAGCTGCTAATCCGTCTGCATGCATTGTGGCTCAGTCTACAAGAATATTTTTCCATGCTATAGTGTTTAAAATGGCACAACACTGAGAACAGTGAGATAACAGTAGTGATCATAAGAGACCTTTACACCATAACACCATAACACCATAATAATGCACCAACTGGCCTAGCTCAGTTGGTACACCCCCCCTGGACTGAACTGTTAAAATACAGACCGGAGTTCGAACTCCACTGGAAGCAGATCAGTGAAATACTACAATTGTGATTTTTACATAGAGCCGGTCAGTTGGATGATAACATCTCAAGGCTGTCGCCCTTTCTTAAAAGAGAGAGAGAGAGAGAGAGAGAGAGAGAGAGAGAGAGAGAGAGAGAGAGAGAGAAAGAAAGAAAGAAAGGGGAAGGAGGGGAAATGAAGAAGAAGGAGAAAAAAAAAAAAAAACATAACAACCATATCAACAGCCTGTCACATTTCTTGGATCCATTCATTGCTGCTGCAGTGAACCCAGATCGTGACGACACTTGTCAACAATGCAAGCCCAGATGAATGCCAACCCGCTGATGATTATCAATAATCAGAATAGTGTCCAGATAGAATGAGATGGGATAATCATACACAGACGAAGGAGAGAGGAGGGAGATTAGACAAAGGAGAGGAATAAATAACAAGACCCAGTCCTGCTTCGGGCTCCCTCCTCGATCACCACCTCAGATAATCAATAGTCTGAACACACATCTCAAGTTCTATTCCAGTGTGCCACGTGGCACGTCGACCAGACCCTCATCAGCGTACTGGAGCTATGTCGACCTCAAGATAACCAGGTACATGTCCACAATCATCCCACAGTCATGATCTCCTCCCGAGTGCGATGAAACAGAGCAGCAGTGCCGGTCACGCAGCCCAGCCACGTCAGAAGATAGAACACGTGGCAGCTGCCAGGTCAGCATGCCTTGAAGACAATAGTCAGCCAGCCACCATGCCGAGCTAGCAGTGCGTCGCCGTAATCTCCAAAGTGCCAGCAAAAGCCGGCGTCCACCAGCGTCGCAGCGTCGAGCCAGCGTCGCGTCGTCAACGCGTGAAGTCAGCATTGACGCAAGACTGAATGAATCTCAAAGGCAGCGAGTCAGCGCTCATGTAGCGTTGACGCGGGTTCTGGACCCCGGATACTGGAATCCTCAGCCATTGAGATGTCAACGCAGATGACGGCCCAGATTGGCCTGAAACCGAATCTCCCCTGGCCTCCATGCTGTCCGGGTACCTGCGCACAACAAGTGTGTGTGTGTATCTGACCAGGGCCTGGGCGGGGTACCTTTTACCTGACAGTTGACTTAGACCTTATGACTTTCCAAGCAGCGCGTGGTCTCACTGCCTGGCGCAGGCCGAGTTTGGCCTGCGTCGTCTGGGCCTTGCTTTGAGAGCCCAGACCGGCTGCAGAACACGGGTTACTGCACTGATATGTATGCCCTACGTAGTATGTACACATATCCTCTTCACAAGGTCATGCACAATGCACATCATGCTAAAGCCCATCCCGCGTCACACGATATAAAACCGTTTAACAGTCCAGTTGCATTCCCGATTCACATTGTTTTTCACCTCATTTTATTGAGTTCTGCTTCTTGTCACGAAACAAGACTGCATACACTTCAGACTTCAAAGAAATGGCTCAGTTATTATAACCCCAAAATTTACTGCTAAAGCCTGCATTTAATGTTTTCAGCAAATCAACAAAAAAAAGCAGGTAAGAGACCAGATACAGATTTTATTTCTGACTTGCCGGTGGAATAGGAACCGCACTGACACTCCCCAGAATGGATATGGAGCCAGGACCATAAGGACCTGATTTACGGAAGGGAAAAAAAAAAAAAAAAAAAAAAAAAAAACCAGATACAGATGTTCCAGTTTCCATGTTGTGAGGACTCTGAGGAGGAGGAGGTGAGCAACGAGGAGCAGGAGGAGGAAGGGAGTGAGGGAGGAACGGAGGAAGCGACGGAGGGAGGAAGGGGGGAAGTGAAGGAGGGAGAGAGGAGGAAGGGAGGGATGGAGGGAGAGAGAGAGGAGGAGGAGGAGGAGGAGGAGAAGTGTTTTGGCTTCTCCTCAGTCCCTTCTGTTCATATTTGCCATTCCATTCCTGTCTCTTTCAGCACTCACCTTGTCTCTCCACGGTTTAACATTTGGCATTTCAAATTTGAAATTTCAATCCTCTCCCTCTTCTGCCCACTTACCTTTGACTTCATCCAACAAGAGAAACGGATCCAAAGTCCTAAGCTCGGCCCTGCACATTGCAAGCAATTTGCCATTCAAGACACGCTCGTGTCAAATGGGAAAGTAGTTGTGTTACACAACAAGCCCGCCAGCAACCACCCGTGTATCGAAAAATGCTATCGGAAGAGGAAGAGTGATTTAGATCATGAATGAAATTTCAAACCCCTTATCTTTGAAATCACCTGGCGGTTCCACCTTCTGATGATCTGGTGAGAGAGTCTGACAGAAACAGTCGTTTGCAGCCCTTCGTTTCTTTTTTCTTTTTTTTTTTCCCCGTCCTCCTTCTTTGCTTTTTTTTCCTGCCGTAAACAAAGGCTAGTCTCAGTACTTTTTGTAAAATTTTCAGTCTCTTTCACGATTTTATTGCATGCCAGATGCTGCTTGACGGGCTTAAATTGCAAGTGGAAACGACTTCCAGATGGCAAATTGAGGCGGCATGGAAGTAGTAGTAGTAGCAGCAGCAGCAGCAGCAGCAGCAGTAGTAGTAGTAGTAGTAGTAGTAGTAGTAGTAGCAGCAGCAGTCGGAAAACAAGGCAGAGAAGAGGGAAACATGTGCCTTAGGGTCGGGTCCCACACTACTTACGGTACAGTAAGTAAAACCGTAAAAGAAAAAACAACCTTCCATCTTTTTAGCGGCAGGGTACATGTTCACCACTCTCGCGATTTCCTTACTACTCTCGCGGCGACGTTTGCGCGCTAAGCGCCACAACTACAAACATTTCCACTTTCATCCGACGGCAGTGCGGTCCCCTACTCGTGCGGAAAATGGTGGGATCCCGAATTTTGCCAGAAAGTACTTACGGTAAGTAGTCCGGGATCCGACCCTTAGCTACCAAAACACCACCAGTACACGGCGCCAGCCTTGCTGAAACAAAAAATCGTCGCCCATCCGAAAAAGTCGGGGCGGGGGCGCCGTTGATAAATTCAATCGGGGGCCTTTGTCACGTTCTGGCCTCTGAAAGCAGCCCGCAGCCAATGTATGGTGTGTACTGGTGTGTAAAACCGCTAGTACACGGCCCCAGCCTTGCAGTCCGAAACTTGTCGCCACAAGAAAACGAGACCGAAATGTCAAACGGTGGGGGCCTGCCGTTGATAAATAAGATCGGCGGTCGCATTTTCGTTTCGCGCGATTCCGGAGTTCGATGTGTCAGGCCCGTGGCCCGGGTAGCCGTGTACTGGTGCTTTAAGACCCCCCTTACCATGCCCTTTAGACCCCTAGACATAATATCTGACTGCTATAGGACCTGGAAACCTCGCCGAAGACCTATTTTTGAAACGAATCAACCTCATTTGTCAGTTCTATCTGCGAGTTTTTTGAAGGAAGGTCCCACATGTCATTCACAAATTGCTGTTGTTGGCGTAATAATTACTAATTAGATGTGAAGGGTGTGGTTATGGATAGGCCTTCTGATTTGCTGAGCGAGTGGCCATCCTGAGGCCAGCACACTCGTCTAATAACTGTCATTTATATTTCAGACAAAATGAATATTACGAGGAATTAGAGAACCAAGGAGACTGAAAGGAAAGGGCAACCAGAAACTACACCAAACCCTTTCTTCACCCCCACCCCACCCCAACCGCCACAAACCAAAGAGAAGCAAAAAATGGAAAGGCTAGGAAAAGAGAGATGAACGTCTTCACCTGCACCACCTCTCCTTTAAACCCCCACAAATCAAAGATAAGCAAAATATGAAAGACTAGGGAAACAGAGATGGACAGCAACGAAAACCTTCCAGGGGGGGGGGTGCAGAGGGGAGGAATTAAATAAACATAGCCACAGTGCATGTCAGCTAGAAAGGGGGCAGGGGGAGAGGGTGGGGGGGCTTGGCGAGGGGAGGAATTAAATAAGTAAATAAACTGCAAAGAAGGGTGTGTGAATGTGGTTAACTCTTGCCATGAATAGACAGATCAGTGCTTAGAAAGGTCTAGGGTTCAAGTCTGGTCGTAGGCTCCGCCTCTGTATTTCGTCAGAGGCACCCCATGCATCAACCCTTCTCTTCTTTCTTCCCACAACATAAGCAAGTAATAATCAGACTGCAAGCTACCGCACGTCTGTGCAACGTTAAGTGGGCTGCGCTCACACATCCGTCCAGCTAACGCAAACTTGCACCCAAGAAACGCAACGACCAAACACTCCTTCAATCACCACACCAATTAAGCATAAAACCTGCACCCAGACAAACACAAAGGGTCAACCAAATATCTCCAGATATGTGAGGGCCTCTGCACCTCAACTGCCAGCGTTCCTAAGACGAGCAATTTACCAATTTCATGGAACGATCTACGTTGAAAGCTGACCTTTGCACAACACAGGAATCGCACTGTGATTGTTTGTTTGTGGGGAAGACATTGTCAAGTCTTTCGTGATCATACCGCGGCATGCTGCATCGAACAGTTTGCTTTCAATGACACTCAGAAAAGAGCCCCCAGCCAGGTAGTATGCCCATGAAAGGAGCGCAAACAATGTAATGCTAGGGCCACAAAGCGTGGAAGAACGAAGGACAAACAAAAAGATAAGCAGTAGGGAGGCACTACGAAGCAGCACGCCAGTGAGCCAACAAGACAAGGTGACAAGGCAGCAAGCCAAATGGCGGTGAGGCCAATGGCAGCCAAACGACCGGGGAAGTGGCGCAACGGCAGCGAGGCAAGGGCATTCAGGCAAAACACAGCAAGGTAAGAGGCAGTGGGCCAAAAGGCAGCGAGACAAAATGCAGTGGGGCAAAAGGCAGCGAGGCGAAAACGCCAAAAAGTATGTCAAATAAGCGAGAGACTCGGAAAAGAGCTTGCAGCCAGGCATACCCAAGGAAGGCATGCAAACATGCAAAGGCCACAAAGCACAGAAGAATAATAAAGAACAAGAAAAGGCCACAAACAGGCAGTCTGCCTGGTAAGATAAAAACGAGTGGATGCACAGCAAGGCAAGGACGCCGCACTGAGGCACCACGCAACGGTGACAAGGCAGCAGCCAAACTACACGGCAAAGCAGGCAAGCTGCATGGAAAGACAACGCAAGCAGGCAGCGGAGGAGCGCAGAACAAGACAGTCCACACATCCAACATGAACGAAAGCAGTCAGTCCATCACCTACCCGCACCACAACCACAACCCCAGGGGCAATTGGTTCCCGCCCCCCTCAATGGAACATGCACCCACAGACATTCCCACCAAAGCAGGCCCCCCATTAGTGTTGCAGGCACTCAAAACAAACCACCACCGACTGTTTGGCACTTCGTGAGGGTGCTCACTTAGACAGTCAGCCAAAAGGGAATGCCTAGCTCAGTTCAAGGAGGATTCCAAGCTGAACATAGTGGGGATCCAGGGGAGGCTCTCACATTCCAATACCCCGTCTAACTCGCATCACGCCTTCGTCGATCTCCCTCGCCGAAAGTTTCCTGTCAACCACACGAGGATCCTTGAACGGCAAAGACGGTGGTGGCATGGTGCTCAAAAGACTTGCACTAGCGACGGCCATAATGATTTACTCCCCTTCCTCAATTGGGCCCCTGATATATCCTCCCTTCTGCCTCCAGGTGGAGATGACGCTCCGTTCTCTACTTGCTGCCTACGAGAGATTCCAGCAACGCTGCCTAGAAGAGATTGCTTGCAACCAACCACCCACCCAGCCACCCAGCCACCCACCCAACCAACCAAACACCCACCCACCCACCCACCCACCATCATTGCCAAGCAATTTCCCTACCCCCCCAATGATCCACATGCAAATATCAGCGAAAGGAACAAAGAGATGAAGGACTAGCGCAATGAACACAGAGATGGGAAGCACGTGTTCATCACCAGAAAATTCCATCTGACGAACTGATCAAGCTCCAGATTCCAGGTAGGGAAAAAAAAGGAAAGAAAAAAAAAAAGCAAGGAGCAGAGACAACAACCGACCCCCTCCACCCTCCCTCCCAGCTCCGACCCCGCTCCCCCCCACAAAAAAAAAATGAAAACCAGGAAAACAAAACGAAAAGAACAAGAAAGTACACAAAGACCCTCGCAGCAGTTTCAGTCCTTCAGCAAATGAATCAATCCATCCATCCGTTGGCCTCTTTTCTCTCTCTCTCTCTCTCTCTCTCTCTCTCTCTCTCTCTCTCTCTCTCTCTCTCTCTCTCTCTCTCT